ATGTTCGGGCCATGGGCTAGGCACCAGACCTTGATCAGGATAATGGTGAGAAGCCATGGAAGGAAGGCTGGTAGCGGAATGGCCGACGGCATAACCAAACGACGCCATCGACATACCTCTCATTGCTAAGGATATGACCCGAGGGAGTGCGGCGAATGGACAGGAGGACTGTCATTGGGACGAGTTTCATTGACGTAGCATGGGCAGCCAACGGCATTTGGCTTCCACGTCGGGACCATTGGCGACGTGTGCATGAGTGCAATCTAGTGAGTGTCTTCAAATCCCGCGATGCAAATGCTGATAGATAGCAGTGGCCCCAACAAAATCATCTTTGCGTTGCTTGTACCTTGCTGTGGGGAATTTGCGAACGACCGGTCTGTAAAGACCCCGTATAGTCAATCGAGGGTCTGGAAATGAGATTGGCTTCGACGGGAGGCCCACCACATATAACATCTTAATCTCAAGGCCAGAGACGGCACGTCCGCATGATATCTTGACCCATCAGCTTTCTTCCATTTGAGCCGTGCAAATGGTATCGAATTTTTGGAGACTTCTATAGCATCATAGTATCTAAACCTTTTCCTAGCTCTAATTTTTAGAGTCGCCTTCTTCTTTCATAATATCACATAACATTCGCTTTGTGCAGCAGGCCAAATGTGCGCGCACCGCTTACACAAAACGCCGATGTTTACAGCTAAAAAAGAAGTCAAGGGCTTCTATAGAAGATACCTGGGTATAATCTTGACCAGATTCTGGAAGCGATTAGCCTTGTTTCCAGCTACGTAGAGGAGCTTGTGCTTACACAGCACCGCTATAAAACCCTTTGCGCTCGATTACTTCCACCTTGGATTACATGGTAACCGAGAAGTGCAATTGAAGAGGTAGAGTGAAGAGGTTTTCCCCACCGGGAGTTTTCAGGGTGCGGGAAGAGGTGCTGTCATGATGACGCGCGCCTATCATGGTCGCAAGATGTTTGATGCTGGCTATCAAGGACCTGCACCTTGATGCGCCGCGAGTGGACAAAGGGGACCATGAGCCGCCGCATTGGGGTGGAAGGGAGTCTTGATACCTCCTCCGGCTCTGGAGTGACTACAGAAAGGTTCAGAATATGCATATCTTGAACGCTGCAAGCGGTTAACTTGGGTCGGTGAAAACGTGAATGTGGAAAGTTTCGCGTGTTCGCAGCATATCATGTAGTGGTAGCGCGGCAGCGCTTCGCGGTCAAAGATGCAGTATTGCTGGTAGTGTGAGTGATGGTGAAGACATCACTTGAACAAGCTGTCACCGTCCAGCTCAGCATAGTCGCTGCTGGATGATGAGACACACTATTAGAAACAATTAGGGCTGGCTTGCGTAACGGCTGTAGGCATCAATAAAAGTCACACTGTTCGAGTTGTGATAGCCTACATTGATTATCAAGCAGGCAGACTTACCAGTGACGCCAGAAAAGCCTTCCTTTTTCGCGCGAAGCGATAAATCTGCCCACGCGAAGATCCATACATCATGCTCGTGCTACACCACCACGCCCCGAAGGGACTAATTCAACATCAGCATCCCTGTACTGGTCAGGCAGGCGTCTCTTCGTCACGGGGTCTCAGCAAGGAAGACACCAAGAAAAGGGAGCGGTGAAGGCGACGCTCGAGACACCAAAGCGAATGTCTGGTCTGGCTGAGTGTTTCACGGCCATGAGGCGACAAGCGACAAAATCCGGGAGGAAGAAACAGCCCGCAGATATGCAGATGTGTCGGGACAACAAAGAATACACCCAAAGACAATAGACCATTAGTACCTGTGCAGTCTGTAACTCACCCGAAAACGATGCTGTTGCTGCTCCATGTATGCATCGCTGCTCAGCAATCGCATCTCCGTCCGACATAGCGACCGTGCCGCAGGTATTGCCGTATGAAGCCATGCTGTCCAAGAGTGTCAACTACACTCGTCCTTGTTAGCTTCCATGGCGTGGCCTTTGCTCACGAGACGAAGCGCGGGACACTTCTCGTACCTCAGCGTCTCAGGTTCTCCGACAAGATCTGTGCTCCTGGATCATCACGACAGTGCAAGACATTCTGGACTCGAGAAGCTCTTTGTGTAAAAGCCTAGCTCACTGACAGTTCGGATAACGGTGCGGGCGGTGTAAGACAGGTCTGAGACTTCAGGATATGTCGTTTGTTTTGCTGATGCAAGGGTGCGAAAGTTTGACGGTAGAAGCAAATCGCAGTTCCACGAAGGAGAAAATTTTAGCATGCGTTATGATAGACGAGCTGACGAAGAAAGCTCACCCCAAAAAGAAGTGCAAGGTACAGGCAAAGACCAGTGCTTTTCGTCTTCTCTGGTGGTGAATCGGCGACAGTAAAACGTGCAGAGATTCCTGTGACCGTTTGAATCTGAGTTTTGCCGCACTCGATACTTGTGGGACTCTTGAACACGTCGCTGATTTACGAGACATCGTGCGCGTGTTGCCCTGTCACGCTTCTCTGAACTCTTATACTATCACTTTGCCAATTTTTGTACGATTCTCTTACTGCCTGCTCCTTCTTCTTCGTCGCACATTAGTGTTACAATTACATCTTCGTAATCTTCAACTGTGGATGAAGTAAGTTTAACGCACCTGTCCAGCCAAGAGGTGTCGCTTTTCCTATAGTAGCCTCTATTGCACCGCAATTCAGTTCTCGATACAGCAGATCAACCGATAACTGTAAAGTTATGATATTGCCTCGCTCTTGTCTCCACACTCTACAACATTCATCGTCGATCTGCATTACACTGGTCCAGCTATTCTGAAGCTAACTTCACCCTTCGATCGGAGCACCCATCAAGACCACACTGTGGTCAACATGCATATCTACAATTTCTCTCTTCTTGTGTTCTGAAGCGACTATTTACCGGCGATTTGAACTGCGGACTTAAGCTGGTCTGTTCGCACTCAAGGCTAGATGCAAAAGAGTCAGCTTTATGCTGGCACAGCAGATGATTGTATCTTGAGGCTGAGTGCGTCAAAACATGCATTCAATCGCCTCCCTGAGGCACCTTCAAAGGCTGCATTCAACCGAAATGTTGCTGCTGCAGTCGATGCATCACGATCGCAGATCTGAAGGTTTACGGGTGCAAGCTCTTGTGTTGACGATACTTCTCTTTTTTTCGAGGGACAAGACGTCTTACTGACTTGTAATCTTACGCTATTGTGACAGGCACGATCATTCTTGAACATCTTGATGTATCTCAGGTATTTCCCAGTCGAAGCAAGCTTATACGGCTCTCAACCGCGTTAAAAGAACGCAAACAGTTGGACTTGGAGCAGCAGGAAACTATCACCATCACGTTCGCAAAACTACTGCTCAACTCGAACAAGAGATATTAAAATTAATAGAGCCCACCGGTGCTGCAGCATTATGAGACCGCAGTTTATTGATGGCGATCTTCTTAACTAACTTTACATTGGTGAAATGAGATAACTCGATGCTCTCTGTGTAATCTCGAAGGCGATGGCTGTGATCTTGGAGAAGCGTACTATTTAGAGATCCAATCTAAGCGCTTGTTATGGAACCGGGATATGTATGTCATGATCTTGATTTCGCTGTCTAGATACTGCGGCAAGATCTAACTAGCGTGAACGCGATGGAGATGACGCACTATGTTCTGGACGAGGTTGGAAGTGTTGTTGCGACGCAGCAGATACATGTGCGTATCCAATTATTCTTTAAGAAGAATGTTTGAGGAGCACACGACCATTGTCAACCCTGCGGAGACCCGAGAACGGTGCCGAGGTGTCAGCTGTAATGCCATGCCGTCTTGCATCTTAGCCCATGATTATGTGCGTCCTCTTCCCACTGTCGTTCGCGCTTGAACCAATGGCACACACAGTGGAGAAGGGATGTGCCTTGGAGTCAGACCGATGCTAAGTCTCGGAAGCGCTGGAAGGACGCGAGTCTCATTCCCGTCGCATCATCAGGTCGAGCCGAAGATTCAGATCACATCCATGACGACGCTTCGCAACCAAGGAGCTGGTGGGTGGACATATAACTCATGACCGTGTTGCGACAGGAACGCTTCCAAGCATAGCTTCAAGCTGGCTCTGTGGCTCTTCGTCCAGTAGATGCAGAACGCATACCCGATAAGGGTCACACATAGAATTCACCTGTCGTTACTGCGCGTCCAAATGTTGTGACTTTGCCCACCATACCGCGCCAGCCGTCATCGAGCGAAAAGTAGCCCATTCTTCTTCGCGCGAGCGTGCTGTCATGTGCGCCTACGTGCTGGGAACTGCACTTGGAATCAGAGCTGCCTCTCGCGCACTACGAGCGGCGCGTGGCCGCACATTATTGACGTGCATCGTATTGGTACGATAGATATCGCGTCGTGTTACCAAGTGATGTTAAAGGGCGCTGAGCGTGTAAAAAGCATCATTGCCCTTGACGTTGGTAGGGAAGGCGAGACCTGCATCAAGAAACGGCGGGGCGGGGCGGTGCTATCGCGCTAGTCAAAGATGCTTAGCGCTGGCACGGGGAAATGAAACTCCGATCCCGAAACCTGCAGCGCTCGCCACCGACACGCCTAGAGCGCGACCTCGACTCCGACCACCATCACCGCCATCGTCCGTAACCATCTCGACTTCACCTGCTATCCGCCGTCAACTGCAGCCACCGTCTCTCGTCAGCTCCTGGCCCCCGGTCCTCTTCGCCTGCCTGTCGCCTTGCCTCAGTCCGCCATCCCCCGGGACCTTTGACGTGCGCGCGGCGTTGTCGGCCTACAGCCCACGCGTCGGCGACTCACGCGTCAAAGGGGCGGTTCTCAAGCAGTCACAGGTTGTGCGGACACGACGGGGACAGCAGTTCACGAGCCGACATCGCGCTTCCATTCCACCCAGCACCATTCGCCGAGCTGGACACAACGAGTCAGGGCTGCTCTCCGCGCACAACGCGTCAAAAGCCCGGGCGGGTGGGTTTCCCTTGCGCTTGCTCCATCGCAAGGGGGATATCACTTGTGAGTGATACTTCTGCACCATGGCCCGCTGGCTTGTCTCCAAGAAGGGTGTGCCCGTGTTGGCAAGCGTGAGATCGGACCCTGCTGCACAGTCACCATGTGTCTTGGTCGTGAAGTACAACGAGGAGCCATTGCAGCTTAGCTTCCATTTACAATACACGACTTTCATTCATGGCTTCGATGTTGAGCAAACGTTTACTTTGATCTATGATGCTGACAACCTGATGCGCGACGCAACTACGCTCAGCGATGCTACCAAGTCCCTTTCCCACGACCAGTTGACTTCCATCGCACGCGCCGGAAATCCCCAAATAAGAGCATTGGCTTTAACGCTCGCGAAGCCATGCAAGATCAGGTGCCCTTCTTCAACCGCTACCTTCACATCGAAGAGCGGATACGAGGCCCCCTTCCACCGCCTGGCCGCCCTCGCGAAAGCTACAGCGATCGATATCTCCTTCGACTACAATTGGGTGCACGCCAACAACCGTCTTCCTCTGGAACGCCTGTTCAAAGAAATGGGAGCGTTCTCGGGGGTCTCTGAGAGTGCCGATGCATGTAGATACGCGGACTGGGCAATCTTCTATACCGTAGAAGAAGACCACCAACCACCACCTTCGTACACGAACGCGGTAGAAGCAGGTGCATCACAAAAGCGACCCAGGCGTGGTAGGTTACCTCGTACCACAATCACATCCTCGACAATTACTCATACGCAAGATAGTTACACCACCCTCGCAGCCCGCATCGCCTCCTCATAAACGTCCGCACTACGATCGAGGGTCGCCCACAGAAGTCGCGACATCCTCACCTTGTCCACCGGGCACATCCCATCATTCGCCATTCGAGAAGGAGGAAGGAGAACTTACGAGTGCACACCCATCTCCACACGCCAGTGCCCAGCTCGCCTTCCAAGACGTCGTCAACAAGGCCGTCGCGGCTCAGCTTCCAGCCATTGTCGAAAGCATGTTGCCCAACATTCTCAGGAGCATATTGCCGGATGTCCTCCAAAGATCCCTTGCTCCCAGACGATCACCGTCTTCGTCGCCTCCCCCTAGAGCCAGCTGTACGCCCCAACCCTCGCCTTCCCTTGGCACACTCATAGCCGACCGCCTGGAAGTTCTAGCCAAGGATCACTTGACTTCGATCTTCGCCGATGCCAATGACCAAGCGTACAGCCTCCGTGTTCAAGCTGAGGGAGAGTTTGAGGACGTGGTTGCCGACCACAAGCTCGATGTCGATACAATCAAGGAAGACTGCATACGAGAGCTTGGTGAAGTGGTTGACGACAAGCTGTGCAAGTTCAAGGAGCAGACTGAGGAGATTGTCGAAACTGCCGTGGAAGAAGTGGGGACCAAAAGCGGTGAAGTTCGCGACGACTTCTGCGACGGGCTTGAAGAGTTCGTGAAGATAGCTTCTGCTTCACTCAAGAAGTTGAGAGAAGTGAAAAGCCACCGCAATCGTATATCGACGAGTCAAGACTAAACATAACGAAGTATATCATTACACGATGGATCGCCATCTGTTGCTTGTGATGTCAGTGCTATGCAGCCCCCGACATTGTTTCCTGTCTCATCATACAACACAAGCCTGGCAAGGTTGCATAGTCGTAGGTGACTGGGGCTTTTTGACTCCTGTGCAGCCCCGTGCTCTCCAAATCAAAAGCATCTTCGTCAGCTTTCTTCGGACTCAGACTTCACCCTTTTACCCTGCTACTTGATAGGTTCGCAGGGACCAATTCCCGAACGCTGGAATGGTAGATTGCTTTGCGCACCAATATTCTCAAAGACTTCACTGGTTTCACATCATGGCAGTGATTAGCGGACTCTTGAAATGATGTTGACGCCTTCATAGCATGGCAGTCATGCGATCGGGAATGATGAGATAGAGTGCGCGTTCAACTCGGACTGCTGTCTAGTCCTAGCTCGAGCTGGTCATCAACGTTAGGCTTTAGCACACGGTATGATTGCGATAGCGTGAATACTCGTGCGATCAGGGCACATCCGTCAGCATCGCCATTTCATGCCGCCAGAAACGGAAAGCAGAATGAGTGTTGGAACAACTGTTCAGACCGAAGGAGCAGCGCGACGTTGGCTCTGTCGCAGGCGCGACGTATCTGGTTAGCCCTCCGCATCGGCTGGAGCAAGAGACCACAACGAACCTCATCAGATCGTTCCAGCTTGCGCGGCCGACCTAGACGACTTGTGTCCCATCGTTCAGTCTGCCTCATTGCACGCTGCACACGAAAGCCGATCGAGCCCCAAAGCCCGCTCTAGAAACTGTCAGCTGCCGGAGTCAACGCGGGAGGTCTTCACCCAACAACCACACATAATCACGCCCGCAGCTGTTACGATATAGCTGGAAAGAGGAAATGAGCTCTGGGAAAGCGACATCGCGGAAGAATCAAATGCCTCATCTACCAATAGATCCGAATAGTGATCGAATGAACGGCTGAAGTAACGCTTGTCTCACCCATCCCGGCATGCGCGATGACCCGAATACGATATCTCAGCCGCCAAGATCATGTGCTTCCTATATCCGCGGAGCTCGGTGAGTCTTCGTATCCAGATGTAGCTCTCGATCATGATATCGCGCTCCGAAACCTCGCTCTAGCTCAGGCAACCACTTTAGACCTTCATCAGATTAGGTTGAGAACCACGTCTTAGACGCCCTGACTGTGGCGAAGGTCGCAATTGGCTCCCAGTGGTGAAATGGAGAGAGCGCTTAGTGTCAGGTCTTGTTTAGGTAGTGTTGCTTTCCGGCATAAATACAGTGTCGCCTTTTAGCATAGACACTCATTACAGTTTGCGGCGTGCATTCCTTCCACCACTATCTCTTGACGTGCTTCCAGTGGCCGCATATGCTGCTCTAAATATCCGGGACTACACATCGCTCGGCCAATACGTTGACTTAACGCCATCGGAGAATTTGAAAGCAGAAGGTGCATCGTTCTTCGCGCAAGTGGGTATACAACTACAGCTTACACTAAAGCTCTCGTCTCGAATCGCGCATCTATCCTTTCTCTCTTCTCTACCTATACGTCTCGTGCGTCGTTGGATAACGAGAATGTTTCATGGTGAACACCGACAACCCGTCGCTATTGCTGCGCTTGGCTCTCTGTTTCCTAAAGGCACTATAGAGGTGCTGGTGAAGCACGCTAGTCTACCTACACCGACTCTGCGCGCCGGCGCGCGTTACCTCCTTCTCGTCATCAATTCTGAAGTCTGCCTTCGCGCAATAATTCAAGGCGTTTGTTTACATGTTGCGCAGCTCGTCGCACAAGTTAGTCCCCATGATCCCGACATTACAATACTCTCTTCACTAGATTTGCTGCAGTTCCTACCCGACGGACGTTGCTGTAGATGTCTGATATTCAAATGCGCATGATGCGCCGCTAGCTATAGAACCTGCTTCGTGATCCATTGGTCCACGTATTCAGCCGAATGAACTACATTACAATCAACAGCGACTACACACTGAAATGCACCCGGTGTTGTGAACGTGGAGATCAGAAAGGTGAGCATGCTGTAAGTGCGAAAGGCTGGACCTTCTACTTGAGGTTGTGGATTCGGTATCTGGTCGAACAAGGCTATTGCGACATCACGACATCTTCCCTTTCGAGCAAGCAGACTCAGAGAGTATCATAGCTTAGAGAAAGGATAATAATACAAGACTATTCATTTATATAAGCGTTCCTTCTTTAATTTGTCGTGACATCTCTAAGAGCTGTAAAGGCCGAAGCTCTTGGGCCCAACGTAAGTCTCCGCGCCATCCTTCTTCTCGATCTGATTAGCGGGGATAGTGTGGTTGCCAGTCGTGTAAGAAATGGGCGTAATTTGCTGAGTGACGGAGAAGTTGAGGCTGCCGTCCTCGTTCCTGATGACGGCAAAAGTGCGCGAAGAGTTGCATTTGCCGTCAGTGACGCCGGGAAGGGCGCCATCGTCGCTGTCGGCCGCGGTGTTGCACTGGGTAGGGATTGTCTCGCCGTTGGCATGTTGAACGACAGCGAAGTCGTAGCTACGCATTTGTTAGTTGGGTAATTACGGGGAAGAGGGGAGAGGACGTACTAGCATGAGCCACCGTCTGTAGAACAGTATGCAATGAAATCGGTGACGTCGTATCGGGGTGTCACATCAGTTGGGGCACCGGCTACGGCGACAGCAAAGACGGATGCGATAGCAGAGAGCTTCATGGTGACGGTTGGCAGGAGAGAGATTCGTGAACGAACGTGAGGTGGAAGAGTCCGGATGTTGTTGAACGTCGATGGATCAGAAGGGGTGACTTGTCGCAACGAATACATCGCAGGCACCTCGAGCTCTTTACATTACCGGCTACGCCACGCTTGTCGACCGCTACATGGCGCGACTAGCTGCCTTGGTGACCCGATTGCGAGCATGTGACGTCGTTCCTGGGGATTGAAATGACGATCGCTGTATTAATAGCATTTGTCGAGCTTGATGGGGAAGCTTCGTCTGACGTCTTACCACCGGGGTATTGCCGAATACGAAATGACCCGAGAATTCCGGGACTGTTGCGGCTAATGTTGGGTTGTGCGTCGACGTAGTGCGTGCAATTCTGCCGAGCATCCGCGCACAGGCACAACTCTGTTCTGCGACTTATCGTATGGCATATAGGTTTGTACGGTTGTACGAGGTTCAAAGTACGCGTGGCCACAGGTGAGATAGTGTCATCTTTGCTATTCATGAATTCTATCCGGGTGCAAACTCTCTCAAAGTTGATTGTTCGGACATACCTAGGTATGCCTCCACGTAATGAGCCTGATTACGCCGCTTGGGTTCGTAGTCTCTGATGCGAATGCGTTCAATGCGCACTGCATACGACCTCGCATGCGCTTGCGTAGCTCTCTTCGTCTTGGATTAGTGTTCGTTATACCTCATATCTGTGTACAACAGCTCGTCGGGGCAGTCAGACAGCCGGCTGGCGTGGAGCTGGCGAGACTGAAGTTGATACAAATGTGATATCACGTTGTCAAGGTGCAGCAAGACGGCAACACGCTCTATCTTAGCGCCTTGCGACACCTTCGCTTTCGCAATGGCATGTATCGTGTTGCCCTGGAGGCTCGTGGGAAATCATCAATCAAGAGGTTGAGCCCAAAACGGAACATGGCGTTCTCTGCGAAAACGTAAGCCTCTCGCAGCATATACTTCGTGAATATCAAGAAGGGGACAATCCTTCCCGCTGCAATGCGTCTTGCTCAGTTCGTAACTCCACCAACCCTCCGCATAAGCTTTCACAAATTCCTGTTGGCTTGGCATGCGTCCTCTGTTCAACATCTTGTTCAGCCGGTTCCAGGACCGGATCAACATCGACAGAATGTCACTGCGCTTGTTGAGGGTTGAGTGATGCGATGTGTAAAACGGGTGAATATAAGGGAAAGGTAGATTGGCGAGGAAATGAAGCGTCGTTCTGAAAGCGAGAGCAAAGGTACAGGGGCACCAAGTCTCAAGTTCCTCTGATGTAGTAGGTAGCGATGTGAATTGGAAGCCGGAAGTTGAGAAGGCATTGGAAAGATGGTCCTGCAATCGGCACGGAGGACATGTACGGTTCCTATTGATCATAGCGAGGTCGTCGTCCGGAGGTTCATATCGAAGCGGCTCCCAAGGGGCGGAGGCAAGTGGTCGTGAATCAATTGTTCTCCCGTACTGGGCAGAGCAGGGAAAATCGTGGCATTGACTGAGTATCTCCCACGCGTATCGCCCACGCTCGAAGATCTGGGATCTAATCTGGAATTCCTGATCCAGTCAGCAATGCATGCGCAGAATCATACAGGATGAGGAATGTACGCTTAGCTGCTGGCTACCTGGGGCTAACAGACTGCTCCAGTTTGGGCGGTTGTGGGGGTGGGGACTTGGACCAGCCCAACACTTCCTGAAATGTTTCCACCCCTCATATGCGTCTTTCCAGGGCTGTTGAAGGTCAGGATAGACGCGTGAATAGCCGCCGAGTATGAGGTCTGGATCAGAATGAAGAAAGGTCGGGGGGCAAGCTGACGTCCAGCCGGACAAAGGGCCAGTAGCGTCATTTCTAGTCGGTGTAGTGAGGTTGCCGGCATCGAGGGAAGAGGAAAAGGAGCCCAGCAATAACAGAATAGTCCAAGATACAATCGTCTTAGCGAATGATCGGTCTAGAAAATAGTTAGTAATTCTGGGACTTAGTTTTCAGGGCGAGAAATCTGGGTAGTGATGAGCTTACTCCAGATAAGCAATCGAGCTCCCTTCATTGCCACACCACCAACAAATGCTACAACTACACCGGGAATGCGAAAACTCTCTGTTCCGACGTGCCAGACACTACTAAGAAGTTGCGGTGGTATGTGATTGGGGAGCTTATCGGTGAACCGTGTGCAACATTGACGAACTTTTGCTAGTACAGGCAGTGTTGGCAAAGGGTTTCTGTCAAGGTAGGCCAGCTGGTGTGCGTCGAGCGGGATACTAAATGCTTTTCTGTACCTGGGAAATTGAAGAGAATTGTTTCGATCATCGTGCATGCTCGATACGCTTGGGATGCTGGGCCTGCGATTTGCGTTCTGGATCGGTGGAGACACGAACTCCGAAGCGACATGGAGATCTGACAAAGGAATCGCCATGGAGAGAGAGAGAGAATGAGCTAGATTCTGACTGAAGCGAATCGTAGCAAGATCTGGGGTTCTTTCAGAACGTCTGGTTGGTTATGAAAAGATCAATTCAACTTGCATGGCCACGAGGGAGCGATACCGAAGCAAAGTAACTTCTCTGCTAGATTGAGTGGCGGAGATCTGGCACAAAGAGATTGCGCACTCGGGCAGTACGGACTCGGGGGCAACAAAGACTTCCAGGACTCCTTTCATCGCGACGATGCCGTCCTTGAAAGGCCTTCGAAACAGGTCATCATCAATGGAAAGTCTGCATTCTCCCCAGCTGCATAGGCATACCTGAACGGCTGTCAGGCTACGCCCCGTTATTAATCAGGCAAGGGTTCCAAATGCGAATGCTAAGACGTTTCATTGGAAGCGTTCCGCCCCGATGTCTCTTTGTTGCCTTTTGTTTGGCACCTGTATTCATCGTAAGTCACTCATGGAAGTGGTGCCATCGGGCTTTGGTGTATGTGTGAGTGCGCACTGTCCAGAGACGACCCTGGTAGTGGACCGCGTACGTAAACTCAGAGCGTGACAAGAAAGAATCACAGTCTACCAAAAGCAATGGATCGTGGCGGTTGTCTTTGAACAGTGTTGCGAGACGACGAAGAGATGACTGCGCGCCACGACAGCCTGTCTCGGCGTCATCCAAGAGCACTGTGTGAGAATGACACCAGATGTGTCAAGCCGAAAGACCGCTCTCCAGACCTGGTATGCTCCCCCAGATCTCCGATGAGCTGTCCAATCTCTGCTTCACCTACAGGCTCTGCGCCTATCATGTCTGGGCTCGAATTGTATGCATAAAGGCGGGGCTAGACGCGGTCGTGCTGGTCTGTAGATTGCGCAGTTGTATTGTGGTCATGCGATGGATCAGTCGAAATGCGTGTGGATAAGGGGGGGCTCGGCGACAGGGCTCGATCTAGCGGCGTGGCTGTTTCCCTGGCGAGTTGTTAGCGATGAAAACAGGAGTTGAGTCCCTTGTGCAATACGTACCTGTTCACACTGCGTGGCCCAGGCGCTTCGTCCATAGCCGCCTCCACGATCCATTGCCCAAGCCTTTTGTTCATTTCAGTAAGAGACTACACTGTGTCGCAGTGGTTGCGGTGGGAGTTGCCGCAGGGCAGCCTTTGCTGACGCTGCGCGGATGCCAGCCGGCTCGGCACAATGCCCGTATGCGAATGTATCTCGATCGCCCCATCTTGGATCTCCCTCGGTAATGTGGGCGTCGGCTGCCGAGTCGTCGGTAAGGCGGCGGTCCGGTACGAAGGCCAGGCGCATAGCCCATTGTTGAACGACGGAATGGTTCGGCGGATGGGTCCAGAACCGCAGTCGGCACGGCCGCACACACTGCAGTGGCAGAGCGTGCCCGCCATGTGGCCGCTGCATTTGTTGCAGTATCCAGCCCCTAAGTGCGCACCTTGTCCAGTCCAGATAGAAATGCGAGATCCGAGGGGACAAGCGCAGCCCTGATGTAATCTTAGTCGAGGGCGGCAGTCGAGAGCTGGCTATGGCGGGAGGAATGAGCAGGTGAAGGTTGCGAGGATGCGAACGGGTATGGATGCGTACTCGCGCATCGGCGTATGGGCAACGATGAGGCGTGTCATTGGTTGTGCGTGCCGTCGGTATGGGTCTGGTATCGCGATGGTGCTAGCGACAGAGTTTCCGTTAGGATAGCTGGATACTAAACTATGTACGCCTCTCAGATGCGCACGATATGATGCGTGGTATATGCGACAGCATTGCTGAGTCGCACGTGTGTGCGGGCGGTGGTGTATCGTATGGGTGGTGTACGCAGTCGGGTGGGTGGTCCTGGCCGGAGCGGCGTGTGAGTTCAGGATTCTATGGCTTTCGCAATCGTCTCACGTCACGCGACCGGATGGACGAGGCTGCGCGCACATGTTTGGAGAAGAAGTGTTGAACTTATCGCGTGCGAGGAGCGAGTGGGCTATGGTTGGTCCTGTCAACCGCCTTGGTAGGTACCATGGTGCCAGGATCGTGAGCGATGCGTGCGGCTAGCGACAACTGGCAATTGAATGCGCATTGACGGCGCGGCGTTCCTCCAACGCGGCCCGGCACGGACCGCCGACGGGCGCAGCTGCAGTCACACTTCGCCAGTTGCCGTGCGCCTTCCATTGACGTCAAAATCGTGAGAAAATAATCACATTTCAACCAAACCAGGAAAGCGCGGCAAGATCTAGCACGCAGCATTAAGGCTAATAATCGAGCGATGCTGTCGTTGCATCTTTAACTAGACCTAAGCACATTCTAGCTTCTGTAGCTAGGCAAATCGAGCTGTTTAGACGCTGTTCTTCGTTAATTACTATCTCTAATAGCCTAACTAGCTCTACGTTATATGTCTGTATACATGCCTTGCAAAGTTAGT